GACAAGAAAAAAAAAAAAAGAGAATTCCAACACAAACTCCATTAACTCTTCACATCAACACCAGGGAGATGAACAAATCATAGGACAAAACAAGTAGTGATAGTCCAATGGCCGAATCTTTTTGGGTTTTTTCTTTCTTTTTCATATTACTATTAAATTGCAAATCTTCTAAGATAATAAAAATATAAACAAGTGACTGGTAATATCATCTTGAACAATTTCTAACAGCACGAATTCTCTCCACCTTGAATTTAAGAATCTTTTTAGAGGGTTTATAAGGCTTATCATAATTCTTTAGATATGATCAACACTTAATCAATATCCTATTAGTTTCCAGTTTTCATTCAATTCTATACTTCATTGTCTTGGTAACCAAGTTTTTTTATTTGCTTCATTTCTTAATTCTAATGTTTTGATTTATATAATATATATATATATATATAATTATAATTTTTCTTTCTTAATCTTTTCAAACCACATTATATATATATATATATATATAATTATTACACTGACACTAAAAAGTTTGACCCAAACAACACACTTTCACATCGTACTATTCTGTTTGTTTAAGACTATAAGTATGTGTATTTCATCCATAAACATTTTAATTGCATCTCTTATTTCTTTTTTCGTTGCAATGATTATAAAGTGATTTTCCTGCCAAAGTCTTCCTTCGTCACTCAAGTCATATAATATATACATATATGTTTTTAGTGTTAATTGAAGAAAAATGTTCAAAGAAGCAAATTATTCCATATATCCATCTAAACTGCTAAAAAGAAAGGAATAGAAAAGCATTCACCAAGTTCCCTACATTAATTCCAATACAACAATAATATTCATTTCAAAATTATACCAAGAGATATTATCAATAAACTAAATTTACTTAAGACTAGCAGAACTAGCTGGTTAGAATTTTGAGAACTGCAAATAAAGAAAAAGGAAAGAAATGAAAAAGAATGCAGGAGAGAGCGAGAATCACGCCAAAGACAATGCTGGACCTTTCTTTTATCATCCATTGTCTTCAAATTTCACTTAAAAGGAGAAAACCCAGTCCAACACTGTTGAAATCAGTAGTACAACTAATTAGTCATAATGGTGTGAATCCACCACCAGATACAGGCTACTTATAGATGCTCATATGTGTGTGTGTTGGTGTTGGAGGCTGAAGTGAAAAGTGATGGTCAGCCTGCTTTTTTCAATGATGATGAGGCATTAACAAATTTGAAGATCAAATTGTTGACTGCTTTCTTTTCTTTTTTCTTTTTTTCCCCCAAGTCATAAGCCGGCAAAGTAGGAGTTGTGTTATTTTTGTTTGTTTAAAATTCATGAAAAATAAAACCCCACCACTTTGAAGTTTTAAGTCTTGGAGAGAATTTTTGTATAGTGGCAGCACTCAATCTCACAACACCACTTTCTCTCCCTTGTCTCTTCACCACCTTCTTTCTTCTTTTTTCTTCTCCGCCTTTTACAACTTTTCTATGGAACCAAACACCGACTCCCCCACCCCCACCCAAATTACCCATTGCAGCCTGTCCCCTGCATGCATGCCTTTGCACTTCTAAGTATGCAATAGAGCCAAAGTATATATTTATTTATGCACACACAAAGAGGATTACCCACTGCAATAGAGGCAAGGTGTGTTAATTTCCACACATAGAGTTTGATGTGGATGAAAAATGTAATGATGAGTACTAGAAATATAAACAACTCACCAATTCCATAAAATCCCAATTTACAAGCATATTCCACTTGGGTTTGCCGGATGCAAGTTGGCTTTGTTGCCTAATCAAAGTTGGTTGGTTACCAATCTTCTTCTTTTTCTAATTGTCATATATAAGCCTCCTACTTTTCCCACTAAGTAAAATAGTAAATCAACTCTACACTGTGTCTCTACTAATATATTCCGTATATATAAATTCAACCGAACGCCAAATAAAATTCTCTCCCTCTCTCTCTCTCTCTCTATCTACATATATAAATATATAACACCAAAAACATGCCTATCTGACATTACTCATGACCACAATTTAGCTGTCGTCTGGGAGATTGACAAGCACCTGTTACACTAGCCCAGCCTTGCCTCAAACATGCACACCCACATTCTTATTTTCCTGTACTGCATTAAAGTTTTCCTTGTATTTCTTCTTTCTGCTGGGATCTGAAAAAACCCATTTTCATTCCTTCCACATACTTTAATTTATCGTAAAGGAGGTTTCTAAATTCTTCCTAAGTGATTAAACCGAGAGATTTTCAAAGTCCTTTTGGTTTAATGTACGACTGTTCAAATAAATTTTATATTTCACTATTTGAACTAAGTTTTAATTTCTTAATAAATTACAAGAAAATAAAATATTATGTTTCCTCTCTCTAAATCAGATGCATTAATACCCACTTATGTTAATTTATAATAGTCTTGACACAGAGAATTTAAACATGATTAGTATATGTTTAATTTCATCAACTAGCAAATGTTTTTATCAACTGAACCAGATGGAGCCTTAATTTTTGTGTATTGAAATTAAAAAAGACAGAGAAAAGAAAAAGGGAAGAGAGAAGTTAAACAAATGTAGGTCGATTCATTGATTGATTAGTTGTTACATAAATATAACGTGACGCAATTCGAACAAAAGAATTACAGTGACAAAACTAGTTTTCTGAATATCATCATTTCAAAATTGCATAATTAAACTAAAACAAAATCTTTTTTACCTTCGTTATCGATTCATCTGGTTCACAAATTCAGCATCGGAAACTGCGGACAGCTCGATTTGGCTCAACTCCTCATCGTCAATGGGAGCAGGAAGATTAAGATCTATGAAGCTCGTACAACTCTTTGCAGGCGTTTCTACTAAACTCACACCGTGTGATCGTTTATGGCCACCGAGGGCTTGACCCGAAGAAAATATCCTCAAACACACTGGACATTCGTGGATTTTCTTCTCCGCCGTTGATGAGCAAGTACCAGCTGCATTTTCTTGTCCCATTTGAGGTTCATTCGATTGTTTGTTTTTCTTGTGGCTCGCACGGTGTCCGCCAAGTGCTTGATATGATTTAAATACTTTTTTACACGTTTCGCATTTGTATTTTCCTCGATTTGGAGTTTTGATTGATTTGAAGCCGTAGGATTCGTCGGTTTCCTCCATGGATTTTTCAGCTTCTCCGCGTTGTTGATCTTCATCTTCTTCTACTCTGTTCTTCCATTTGTTGTCTCTCGAAAGCATCATCAAACAGAAAGCGACATCTTCTTCCGTGGTAGTACCAGAGATGGAACTCACGGGTTCAGGCTCTGCCCATGACTCTGATTTGGTAGCACTCGGTGGGTTGGATTTGAATTTCTTGGCATTTTCTTCAAATCGACGATGATGATGTTCCGATTTCCCTGTCCGCTTGGATCGTCTCCGAGTTGGATTTTTGGATGACTCAGTCTCGCTTTCTCTGTCTTGAAGGATAACAGAGCCAGCATCAACTGCAGCAAAAGAAAACTCAGGATCCCCCAGTCGAATACTCCTCTTTGGATTCTCTCTTAATCCATAAAACTGACCTTTCTCTTCTCCACCTTCTTCTTCCTCGGAAGAAGATGACGACGAAGAAGCTGACTCTGCATCTTCACTCACTTGATTGACATCTTCTTCTTCTTCTTCTTTCACTTGTTCTTCTACTTCAACTTGGGGCTTTGGTGGGATTGGAAGATTCAACATGTGAGACCTCATGTGACCTCCCAAAGCTCTGCCATTAGAGAAGCTCTTGAAGCACAACCTACATTTATGTCTCTCCATTACAATCCCCCACAAAAACGAAAGAAAACAGAGGAAAACACGATTTCTCCTCCTCTTATGTGATGAAATAGCCAGGTGACAAGCATTCTTCCACCACCACCACCATCATCAACAGATATATACAAAAACAATAATGAATTAATTTATTTATTTTTCTCTTAAAACGGCAAAATAACAATAAATAAAAACCTAATTAAAGAGTATGCATCAAGGGACATACATGTAACATGCGCGTTTCTGTATTTATTCGCTCTTTCCAAACTTACCAAATTACCCTTGTTAAATACGAAACTCCGGAGAATAAAACGAGGGGTATTTTCGGAAATCAATTTTAAGGTCACCGGAACTAACCGGTGGCTCTCTTGTACGAGTCAATAAAACTGCTGGGGTTTGTTGTAACGACGAACCAGAATTAAAAGAAATGAACATGAAAGAAAAAGGAGGCGGCCGTGTTAAAGTTACCACGTCCGTGACATAACAACCTAATAAGATGCTGACACGTAAGGTAATTAAAGGCCATTAATGTTGGATCTTTAGTTGAGATGCGTGAGGTGGAAATAAAAGAATGGCGTTTTGATAGGGGGAAAGATTTGGCAGTGAGAGAGAGAGAGACCGAGTCCCTTGCTTGAATTACATTTACACGTTTTTGATTTATAATTTTGAGCATCTTTATGTATCAAAACAAACAAGCCTTTACTCCTTTACCCAATGAAAGCTATTATCACTTTTTTTTTTTATTTTTTATTTTTGGGAAAACACATTTCTTTAATAATTGCTTAAATTATATTAAAAACTTACCTCACAAAAAATATAATGAAATCACTTGGAATCTATAGTTTATATTATTTTTGAATTAAATTAAATGTATAATGTTGAATAAATTTTATTTTTATTTTTTTAAAAAAATATTATTTTAGTTAAACTAGGAGATGAAAATTATATTGGACATTTTCCAACTTATAAAAATTGATATAGTTTAAAAAGTATTGTTCTAAGATTCCTCCAAATATACCCTGAATGTAATTAATAAAACCATTTTAGAATATTATAAAATTATATGTTTTTATGTGTCTTTAGTAAGAGATTATGTTATTATGAGTATGTACATCATTTAATTAATAATGTTGAGTTATAATTTTGATACCTAATTCTTTAAATAAGGACATTTTGCTGACTAAAAAGTTTATGTAACGTTTTTCATTTGTTATTTTCTTAAAAAACTACTAATTCATACATTTTAGTACTTCGCTTTTATATATTTTTTAAATAAATTATTAATTTAATCACTAAAATTTGATATTTATTATAATTTATTTTCTAATATTTTTTATTACAATTTAATTCATAGTAATTTTTTATTTATTTTTTTTAATTTTCACTTTTCTTCTATTTTTTAACGGAAAAAAATATTAAAATAATTATATCACATTGGAATGTTTTAACTTATTAGCTAAATTGATAAATTATTATTCTTTTAAGTTGTTTTTTTAAATTATTTAATTATTTTTTATTTTTATTATAAATAAAAAAACTAATATTACAAACAAATAAAGAAAAAGTTAAAGGAATTAATTA